GCATTGATGACCAAAATTAGGGTTTGAGTTTGCACAAGGATTTTTGGACTATCAATGCTTCATATGACTTTCAAGGATCATTATGGACCCCCAATATTATTCATGTCAAGTTTCAAGCTTTGAATCACACTTTTGATCAGTCAATTGGACAATTGACCTAAAAATCAACTGTATTGGGGAAAAAGTCAATCATGACCAATTTACAGTCAAACGTCATAATTTTGGATCCACATCAACATTTTAAACTCATATGTATCATTTGATCAAGTTTGGACCACAATTCCTCAAGAAATTTGATCAAATCATCAAAAGGGCAAAATGGTCAAAATTAGGATTTTGATTGAGAAGGGGCAATTTCTGATTTTTGACCTAGCAAATGATCAATTGGGTTGAAGCATGATTTCAAGAGTTAAATTTCACCATCTTGACCTAATGACATGGTTCAAAATATTGCAAATCCATTTGATTGACAGATGAATTTTTCAGTCAACTAATCAAAAGTCAATTGTATACTGAAAAGTCAAACTTTGACTTTTTGGTCAAATTCAAGTGCCAAAGATCATAACTCGTCAAAACATGTCAAAATGTAAAACTTTTTCATCAAGGATTGAAGATTTTTGTTTTGGAAATTTGAAATTTCTTAACTTAGAAAATTTTCTAAGTATAGAAAATTTCTTATTTTTTCTCAACTTTGAGCCAAATTTTCATCATGATGCAAGATGATTCAAAAGAAATTTCCAACACGAAAGTTGTATATTCCCATGAAATCTACAACTTTTCTTCATATAATTTATCCTAAAAATGCTTGTATCTCAAGATATAATTTTGTGAATACATGATCATGAACTAATATAACTTAGTGAAATTTTGCCCTAGTTAGACATGTTTTTGACCTAACTTCATGCCATTTTTTCACATAGTTCCGAGGGGAATATTTGAAAGCAATTCAAAGATGAGTTGTGGATCACATTAAAAGCTTTCCAAAATGTCCAATAACTCCTTTACATCATTCTTGAGTAGGGATAATCGAAGAGATGGATTTGGTAATTTCTCACTTTGATTTCAAGCCATTTCATGATGAACAAAAATTCAAATCCAAGCCTAGGCTGCATAATCTTTGCTTTGAAGGCCTCAAACTTGTTTCTCACTCCATAATTAAATGTTTACACAGCTGATAGAGCTTTAATCCAAGCATTAGAGCCTTTGTCCAAGCTACAATTCTATTTATGGCACAAAGTTGTCATTTCCATTTTGATAAAGCACAAATTTTGCAATTGTCAACTCCTTGAGCTTTGCATTTGTTCTTTCTGCACACACAAACCCTATAAACCAAAAGCAATGTGTCTAAAACCTCTACCAGCTCAGATCAGGCTTGTATAAACATTTAGGGACTTGTCTCCTCACTTTGCTTCAAAAGCAAATTATAGAGCCAAAAGGCTATAACTCAGAAACCTGGAGTGGAATTGATTTGAAACCTTCTCTATACTTATACACAAGTGTATTGCAACCTAAAACACGAATGTTAAGACTCAGAAACTCTCCCAAACACTTTGACATTGAAAATCTGCCATAGCTTGACAATTTTGCACCATACATAGCCATCTCAAAAACCACTCGTGCGTTTTGAGTTTTAACAACCTAAACACTTAATATGCATCATATCTAAGTGTTCCAGGCCCCTGTTCCCTCACTGTAACTCCTCCTCTTCCATCTACCATTTTTACATATCAAGCTTGCAGGTTGACATGAGTAGGGAGATTCAGGAACTTTCAAGGCAAAGTAAGGATTGAAATACACTCAGGGAGGTCTAGGCAAGCTAAACAGATCCTCAGGCCTTCTCAAAACTTTCTCAAACTCCATTCATGATCTCAACTGAAAGAGATAAAAACTCAAACTTCTATCTCTTCATACAAGCATCCTTTGGTCTTGATTTGTGAAAACAAAATGTAGATATCCTTGCACTAAAGCCAACAATGTTCATAGATTTCATTTATATTCATTGTGTATAGAGAATTTTGGATTTGAAATTTCTGTAAAAATTAGGTTTCAAATTAGGGCCAGTAAAATTAGCTTTGTTCTTTGACTTTTAGTTTACATAAATTATATGGTTGAAATCGTGGGAAGAAACACTATCACTTTCATATTTGGATTTTCCATTTTCATCGAGAAATGAGAGAGATACAGGTGGTCCAGCCATGGCTCAAGGTTGAAGATGAAGTTGCCTTCAGGAGGCGTTTTCTAATATATATTTGTGCTTTTGTTTATATAAACGGATGTATAGCCACCCCAGTGGTAAGGCAGCGCGCAAAAAGGCCAGAGGTCATGGGTTCGAGCCTCAGCGCGATGCCTTTTGCAATTTTTCTCATTTTTTCCATTTTTTGCTAGCTTGCAGCGCATTGGAGTTCAGTGTATTGGGCTTTTTTTTCTTTCTAACATTTCACCACTTGGTCTACTTGTATACCCCTTGGCCCAAATATTTTTATTTACTTATTTTATTTTCATTTTATTTTATCAAATCTATTTTTCTTAATATTAAAAATCACAAAAAATATAAAAATGATAGATTTACATTTGGGTTCATTTTATTTTATTTTTTCTCATAAAAAAATATTTTTATTTAAGTTATATACTATTTTTTTTATAATAAACTTGTAAATTAAATTATAACTATTTTAATATTTATTTTTTCTTCACACCTATTAAATATATTATTTTAGTATAAAAAAGGACCAAAGATACCTCATAAATACCATATATTATTTTTCAAGACAAAAAATGCAAAAATACTTACCTTTTCTTAAAGAAATTTATTTTCTTTTAATCAAATAGAATTAGGTTTTCAAAAAATCTTTTCTAAAAAATAATTTCTTTTCCTAATTAATTTGAGATAATCTTGATTTATTTATTAGGTTTAGGTTAAAACTTTTTCCACATAAAAAAACCAAACAAAATCTTCTTTGCATTCATACATCTTTGCATATTTAATTTATCTTGTATATTATTTATTCTAATATTTGTACATATTCAATTTGGTTGTAATAGATTAATTAGGTTTATATTATTGCAATCCCCATTTATAAATTGTATACCCCCCTCCCACAAATGTTATAATAGCGTAGCAATCTTTAAATTTCGCAATTTATCGCTTTTATATAACATGCTAGTAATTAGGGTTTGTATGAAAAGATAAAATCAATCAAATAGAAAACCCTAATTCAAGACAAAAATAAACATGAAATGACACTTGCACACAAGCACCCCTAGGATTACTCCACTTGGTTGTCTTATACAAAAATGACTATATTATGCATGTAAACTATCTTAGCAAAACAAACAAATACAAGATCATAGTCCATCGATGACGCTATTCAAAGTTGCCTTACAAAAATGATCTTAGTCCCTCAAAAAATATTAAGATACTTTGCAACATTGTTAATCATGGCTATATGATAACCCACACCCGTCCCGTTTACATCCAAAGATAGGCTTGCTTACTAAATCAATGGTAAGACAACAATATCAAAGGAAAAGAAAATGAACAAGAAAGACATTTGAGTAGGTAGATTGCTCATAATTACTTGTTCCATTTCAAAACAAATATCCTTGCTATTTTCAAAAACAAACACCTACACACTTTCAAACATCTTACAAACATTGAAAACATTTTCAAAAAAAAAAGATCAACATCTTTGTATACATTCTTACGAACGAGAATCATTACAAAGATTGCCTAAACAATGACCTCTTTTACAAAATACTTTCAAAACCACACCAAACACAATTTCAAACAACAAAAGCAAGTGATCTAGCAAGTAACTAAGAGCCCATGGAAAACCATAGATGAAAAGGGTGCTAACACCTTCCCTTTTCATAATCAACCCCCTGAACTCAAGAAACAATCTCAAAGGTCTTTCCTGTGTTTTTTCACCTTTCATTTTGGATAAAAGAAAAGTCGGTGGCGACTCTTACTAAACCGCAACATTTGCGATCAAACGCAAAACCTTCAAGTCAGTTCTCCCGCCGTATCATAGAAACGAATAAACTTTATCTTAAATTTCACTTCCTTGAGCACCTTTTGATATGATGAACCACAAGAATGAAGATTTGAAGTGAAAAACTTGATTGAGAATGAAATGGATTTTAGAGAGGGTTTATGGAAAGTTTATGAAATGAGAGTGATCATTCTTGTCCATGATGGTTACTGTTTTAAGCAATATGACTTTTGCGTGACAGTATTTTCAATCTTCCCACACTTATTAAGCAGAGATGCATTCCTGATGGAAACCAAAAATATATTGCCGATTCTGTTTTGTCTACAATAGAATGAAACCACTTTTGATCTTGCCAGAGATATTTTCCGGTTCTATAGAGTGGACTAAGAAATTCTCTTTTTTTTTTTTCTCAATGATTTATGTTGCAGGTCAATACTAGTGGACAATTTGTTGGTTTGGCAGAAATAGTGTGGTGAGAGGTTTGTTCTCACAATTATGGTATGAGCTAGGAAGTATCGTCGTAGCTTTCTAGATGCGACTACAAAGGACAAATTTAACAAATTTAGCTAGGGCTTTTGAAAAGAAGGATACTAGTCGTTGACCATCTATTGACGAGGACCTTGTTGGCCGCTTCTTCGGAATCACCATCTATTGACGAGGACCTTGTTGACCGCTTCTTCGGAATCACCCAAATAAAGAAACAAGGGTTCTCCAAGGAAGTGGTCTGGTTAACACCGGTGGAGTGAACAGGGTTTGGCTAAAAAGAGAATGTATTCACAAATTTAATGTAAAAAATATTGGCCAAAAAATCTTATATAGAGAGAGAGACGAATCACGGAGGTAGTATTAAAATTGTAATATCTGTCCTTCATAAATTGACATTCATAATATTAATATTTCAAAGAACACAACCACAAATTGAAATGTTACATTGTATTCCTCAATTAATTATAAGATTCACTTTCTAAACAATTAGTGAAAACCTCAACTCTGATAAAACTAACTCAATTATTTGCTCGCATTCCTCAGCTTGAAAACACTCTCAATCACCGAAAGTTCTGTTGCCGTGGTGTCTGAACCACAAAATGCTGTCCAATCATTTACTGTCATGCCAGCACCTATTACTTCACTACCACGATTAACAGTCCCCGCAACCAACGGAACTTGAAGAAGTGTAGAAAGTTCATCCAAGTCTTCAATCGAAGTATGAGGATGGACCTGCATTCACGTATGATCAAAATTCAAAAGATATAGATCATTCGTTCAAATTGAAACGTTCAAGAGGACATGAATTGTACTTACCAAACCACCTTTGTTGGAGAAAGCACAATAACTTCCCACGAGAACATTACCGGCAACTGTCTGCCTAAAAACTTCTACTCCAAGAACATCTGCAAGAACCTCCTCAGTTTCCTAAACAATTTCACCGTAAATACTAGGCCAAGAGAATAGCGCACAAAAAAACTAAAATCTATAATAATACAATACCCTGTCGAGATCAGTGTGCGTGAGAGCCACATGGTCATTACATGCTATACAATTTCCCAGAGCAGATAATTTTTCTTCAATACGCTGAACACGAACATGATCAGGTAGACTGTTTTTCAAATGTTGGAGTTCTTCAATAGTAGCCATGAAAAAAAAAGATTAAAGTCAGTCCAACATCAAAATAGGTGCTTAGTTTTATGTCACCAGCAAAGGTGAAACAATGTATGAAAACATACTAATTAATCTTAGGTTGATTTAATGAAATTGCAGGGTAGCCTGTTCAAATTTCAATGAATAAACTGTTATTGTTATATATTCCCTAGACTCTGCCATAACAAGAGTTTTGGAGCACTATTTAAGCAATACACCACGACCAACAGTTCTATATCATCATTCAAAAGCAAAGCAATGTTCTGAGTTCCTTTGAACGAGTGGATAATTTTTAATACAGAAATGAGAACTACAGATTTTAGGTATCATCCATGTAGCTTGCAAATCTTCACGACTAAACACTACATTTCATATTGTAGGAGGGGCTGAGTCAGATGATGAAAAGAATCACATAAGCTTAACAATACAAACGGCCAAAACCAAGAATCTACGAGGCCATGATATACCAAACTAGAAGACTAAAAAAAAACACATGTTTGTAATCACTCTCACTCCCACGACAAAACCTGAATATATCTAATATGATGAATGAGCGATCATTAACTAACAGAACCTCACAGTATCGGGTTTTTTCAGTCTTTTCTAAACCACGGTCACCAAAAAATGTTTCACCAATTACAATGCCACAAAATCGAGTTTAGATTACTTATTGACAAGGTTATTCAATAGAAAAGTTAAGGTATACTGCACGACGTATGATAGCACTAAACAATACTACAAATAATAACAACATAGTAATAGGAATCACCTTGGTCTGTGGTGGTATGGGGCAATAGAAGTCCATTCTTGTTTCCTGCAAACCAATAGTAAGTTAAATTAGACAATAGTTTAAAATCTAATAATTCATAAAACAATGAACATAAGAAACCAATAGCATGTTTGAATTGACGTTCTATTTTCCATTCTGGCGTCCCAATACAATATTCACGTGATTTTTAAGAAGCTTCAATTCCTAACTTTTGTCTATACGCACATTTAAAGGGTCTTCAACTCGGAAACAAATAGATATAATATAACCATCTTTTTATTGTTTAACTAAAAGGAAGAAAATTTGTAACAGATCCATATGCTATTCAAGTAAAGAAGGAAAAATCCTTTACCAATACAAAGACGTCCAACAATACACTATTCAAGTAACGAAGGAAAAATTCTTTACCAATACAAAGACAACCAACAATGCGAGATCCACCAATGGAGGTTTTGATCACAGGGATAACATCTGATAACTCAGCCTCAAATGTACTATATCAAAATCAAATCACAAAATTAATTTATTGATCAAGATAATTGTAATGGCAATTCCGGTCCATTTGAAACTGAAAAAAAAAAAAAAAAACTTAAATATATATATTGGGGAATGTATTTTCACTAAAACCTGTAGAAACTTTCAGAGGCTCCAATAGCGACCAAACAATAGGCATTGGTAAGTTTTGAGAAGACACCAACTTCACAAGAATTCTCGAACCGGAGTCCTGCGTAAAACCATTGTCACCGAGTCTATCACGAAGCAATTATATATTGATTTTGAAATAACAAGAGATATGAAAATGTTTCATCACTTACTAGTTGCCATAAGAGAGGAACAGAAATCTTTGATATAATAAACCAAGTTTAATATCTGAAATCATGATATGAGAACAAATAAAGCGTGTTAGTATTGATTAATAGTACAAATAGTTGAATTATGATGATAAGTAAAAAAAAGAAATTTTTACTTTGTGATTTATACCTAGTAAAGTGAAAATGCAAGGCAGAGCTAAAACCATTGATAAACATGCATAAGGGTTATTACGAAAGAAAGAAGAGAGAGAAAAGAAGAGGAACGTACGTATCGGTTACCAGGAAGCAGAGCGAAGAGGAAGCGGTGGATGGAAGGGACGCAACGATCAAAAACCCTGCAAATGTGCAGGCCAACTGAACCGATACCTAATTTTTTCAATTTCAGTAAGTTTTAAAAGAGATTTTTTCTAGGTACCTTGAGAAAAAAATGGGTAAGTTATCTATGATGACCTGTAACCACCTATAATTCATTAATTTCATAACAATAAAATATATGATTACTTATATATTATTATAGATATTTTATTTTATTTTTATATTTCATCTTATTATGTTAATTACACTAAAGAAAATGTATATCTCCTCTTTCTTTCACATATTTTCACTTCATTTTATATTTTATTTTTACTCGAAAACTCCATTTTTTTTTCTTATAATACATTTCTCTTCTACAAATTAAATTTATATTAGATTTTTGTAAATTATATAACAAAGTTAATGTGTATTTAATTCTTTACATAAAAATTGTAGTCAATAATTCATACTAATTCAAAAGTCTTTTCATCTTCGTGTTTGTCCTACGATATGAAATCGTGTGAATTTTTGTATATAATTGTAATTTTAATGGATTCGAATATTGTTGATGATGTGGGTGAATGAGTAAATGAAATTTGAACTTGAACTATGTATTATGTGAAGTTTCAGAAGTGTTCGATAGGGATAAAAAGTAATTTTCGTGTCAAAAAGCAGTAAAAATATGCTACTGAACAGGGTATAACCGACTGTAGCATTTTGCATAGTTTTAAGGTAACCCATTACCACCTTTCTGGACAGCAACTTTGTAAATTTTCAAAAATTCATAACTTTCGAACTGTAGCTCCGTTTAGGTCACCGTTCGAAGCAATGTTTTAAAACTCAGACCGGTGATCGACTCGGTAAAGTTACTGGGTCATTGAGTTACTGGTCGGACCAGTGGGTCACTGGTCAGACCGCATGGCTTTTGACCCAGTTTCTATAAAAAATATATTCATTACCTGAAATTTGTAACTATAATAATATAGAAAATTATAAATTCAAATAATTTAGAATAAACAAAAGTATTAGTAACAATTAAAATAAGTGATAGAAACTTAATGTAGCAAATTATAAATTCAAAGAAGTGATAGAAACTTAACAATTCATAAGTTATAGTATTATAATAAGTCACAAAAATTCATACTCAAGGATCCATAATTTTTTATGTTCGTGAAGTCAAATTGTCATAATCTTGATATTCATATCCATCTTCAACTTCATTGTCTTCTCCACCAACTTCATCTTCTCTGGTGTTGCTTTTTTCTTGATTCACAGTATCAACAATAGTATCTTGTGCATTACCCATATCTCCATCTTAATCCTCATCTAAATCTATTTGATCTATAACAATATTTTAAAAAATAATTAACAAAAAAAATTTAGAGATGGTAAATATGAGACATTAAATTGATTCACAACCACAAACTATATTATGCTCATATTAGAACATACCAATATCACTTGAAATTGGTTGGATGGTCATATTTGCAAGGTCATTCCGCAATGCTTCCAACTCTTCATTGGTTAAGAGAGGTGGTGAATCCTCTAATACTCAACTAGAATGGTCGGCAATTGTTTCAATATTGATAGGATCATAACTCTCATTTCTTATTTTCCTAAGCACACAAGAATTAAATCTAAGTATATGTATTTAAATATAAAAATATAATGATCAGAGAAAAATAACCATAATAATCCCTATTTTGAAGTCTCAAGTTGTAACGAACAAACACTAAATCATTAAGCTTTTGGTGCTCCAATCTATTTCTTTTTTTGGAATGAATATGCTCAAATATACTCCAATTGCGTTCACAACCCGAAGCACTACAAATTTGGCTTAAAATACGAATAGCTAACCTTTGCAAAGTTGGTGTACAAGTGCAATAAATTTCCCACCATTGATCTGTTTATACCATGTGATTAAATAAATTTATAAACATATTTAAATATAAAATAAAATATATATCAAGAGTTAGAAGTTATGAAATTATCTGCCCTCACAATACATCGTTCATCCACGGCTGGTTTCCTTCCAAAATCTAATTCACCGTCTTTGAATATTCTCATCTCATTTGTTAAATTCAATCGAAGTTCAAAATTTCCATTAGCATGCTTTTCAATGACATCTAAAAGTCCTGATGTTTCAAATTCTACATCATTATATCTACAAGCTGGATTCAACCAATAACCGGCAACATGAAAATTTTTGCGGAGCTGTGAATCCCAACGTTTATCTAAGATTTTCAAGTAAAGATCCACTTTCTTCTTATTTCTTTGACACTGTCTCACTTACTTCCTCTAATTTTCCCATGTCTTGCAACATCAAGTTAATGCAATGTGCCGCACAAGGAGACCAAAATAAAGTAGGAAACTCATTTTCTAATAACCTTCCAGCAACAACATAATTTACAGCATTATCTATCACTATGTGAACTAAATTTCCAGGCTCAACAAATAAAACCACCTCTCTAAAAAGCTTATACAACATATCTGCAGTTTTTGAAGCATGAGAAGCATCAAAGGATTTTAGAAAAATAGTACCTTTGGGACAATAAACTAGAAAGTTTATAAGAGTTCTTCTTTTTCGATCAGTCCATCCATCGGCCATTAGAGTACAACCAGTTTTCTTCCGAATCTCACGATACTCCTCTATCAATTTGTTCACATCTTCAACCCATTTATTTAACAAATAGCCACGAAGACTATGCATAGTTGGAACTTTATACCCCCGGACTCATGCTGTAAAGTGCATCAGCCATAGATTGAAAATACGCAGAATTAGCTGCATTGAATGGCACAGAAGAATCAATGAACCATCTTGCAATAGCTAGATCACACTTCTCCACCAATTCCTTACTTTGTAACACACTTTTTAAAGAAGGTTGAGCTCCAGGAGTTGTTCTAGGCATAAAATAATTACCAATACGACTAGTATTCTTTCTCTTTTGAGACACAATCACCGAATTTGATCTTGATTGTTCTACATCCATTTCTACTACACCACCCTCTTGAGTAGTAAGATCAACATTAAAATTTTGTGCTTGAGTCTTTCTTCTCTTATTTGCATCTTCATCAAGATTTTGTTTCATTTGATATTGAACATCTGGAGGCACCTTTTTACATGTTTCAACTTGACCTTTTATTCCAGCCAAATGGAATTTGAACCTATTAATCCCCCTTCTCTAATAATTTTATCACAGTAAATACACAAATTAACAAGTTTTCCTTTATCTTCAATTTATTTACAATGACCCCAAGCTATATCAGTTTTTCCCCTACTGCTTTGGAGTTGGGTTGGATTTTGAGATGTAACTTCTTCTGAAGTTATTACTTCAGCAGGTGATGCCATATCTAATATCAATCAAAATTTAAAAATACAAAACTATATTACAAAAATATTAACAAAACACAATTCTAAACAAAAATTATTGAATTTATAAAAATATTATAAGAAACATTAAATATGTAACATATCTAAATCCAAAATATATGAATATGTTGTTGTATATTACATATAAGCTACCAAGCATCGTTACTGTGCATCACCATATATAATAAAAAAATAGAAACTTTGCTTTCCATCCTTTGCTATATATTTTAGATTAATAAAATCCTGAAACTTTTCTTTGTTATAGAATTTAAATTAATAAAAAACAGAAAACTTTGTCTTACTATATAATTTAAATTACATAGTTTTAAATCCAATTTCTATCTCCATAATATATACAACGACTATTACAGTAATATATATCTATCCCAATTTCTATCTCCAATATACAACAACTTCATTACTAGTCTATAATAAGTTAATTCATAAAAGTATAGAACTGCTTCATTCATACAAATTCTATCTCAATTTGTTAAACTAAAAGACCCAATTTTATAGAAAATGATCAAATTTAATCATTTATTTTCTATATCAATTAATCAACAAAATGAAACAATAATATTCATATTGAAAAACACCAATGCAAATTAGACCAAGTAAAAAAGAAATAACCTATTTTTGATGTTTTGATGAAATTTTTTACGGCAAACAAGGAATATCAAATAACAGCAGCAAGTGGGAGTTTTTGTTGGTAGAGAAAATTGAGAATATGACTTCAATTAGAAAAAGAAAAGACAGAATAAAAAAGAAAACCTTTCAAACGCCTAGGTTTGGGAAACGAGGAGGAAAAACGTTTATGTTAATTTTTTTTCAAAAGTCCTAAAAAATAAAATAAATAGTCAAACCTACCGGTTCAGTAAAAACCGTCGGTTCACTGGTTTAACCGGTGATCCGGCCGGTTCACACCGGTTTCATCCGGTCTAAATGTAATTCTGGTCTTATCCCTTAATCGGACCGCCTGGCCCACCAGTTCTCGGTCAGATCGGTCCGACCGGCCGGGTCGGGTTGGGTTTTAAAACACTGGTTCGAAGTGTTAAGAAACTAGAGCCATATTATTTTCAATAAAAATGGTCTTGTTGACAATATGTGATTTAATCATTGTATGGTTGTATAAGATGACTTATATTTGTGTGTTGTGTGGTTTGTGATTTGGTGTAGGATCGTAATGACACTTTTGTATATTGCTTGTTATGTGATGTTATGATGGTTTGGCATGGTTATACTATGAAAGTGAATTATATGTGGATAATTTATGAAAATGTTCATGTATGTGTAATTGTGTGGTGGTTCAATTGTGATAAATTATTGAATATATGTATGATGTTAAGATTGAGGGATGATCTTAATTGCATATGATTTTTGAAATTACACATGCATCATTATTGTCAAGAAGCAATGCTTGTTAGTTCTGTGGGAGCTAGCTAGTGACTTGTCCCAAACTTAGAACGAGATTTGAAAGCTTGGGGAACAAACTTTTGTGTGTTATTGGTCTAGAGAACATATTGTGTTATTGGTCTATGAGTAATGCATTTGAGGCTTACATTGAGTCATATTGTGCTATGTTTATAATATAAAGTTATGTGCATTGTGTGAAAATAATGTATTTGTGAAATTGTAGATTATGAGGCTATACTTGTGAATAATATGAATAATTGGGTGATGTTATGTATGTATAGTATTTTGAAGTGTGAGTGAATTCACCTTATGCGTTTATGTTATGTATTATGTACAATTATATGATTTCGATAATTATGTGAATTCTCACTCTTCTGTTGGAATAATATTTTATACGATATCGCTCAGGTACAGAAGATTAGAGTTGCTTCTAGCAAGAGCGTAGTCGGATGAGGATTTTCCTTTCTGTATTTTGGTTTTGGGTCATGCTCTGATGTTATGTAACAATAGGGAACAATTTTGAATTCATATTTTGAAAGATACTTTGTTTACTCTTTTATTTGTTATTCTTATTGAAATTATGTGATGAGTTGACTTTTAATGCCTAAGTTATTGAATAAGTGAATTGATTATGGGACTTAAATATGATATTTGTTTGAATGAAAATGATTCCACTGCTACATGCGTATGTGAAAGTGTATGAAAAGCATGAAATTTAATTAAGTGTTATTGAGCATGACAGATGTACGTGATTTTGAATCATGTGTGACACCCTTAATTAATATGCATGATTATATTACTCTGATTTATGTTGTATTATTTCGAGGAGTTTTAATGGGTGTTACATTAGTCTTTAACCAATCAAATAGATAATTTAATGTCAAGTCTTTTTTTCATTTTTATTTATTTTTAAATAATTAAAATACAAAAAGAATTTATACTAAAACTATCCGTACCCAATTACTTATCATAGATACATAAGAATTTTTCTATTTTAAATTGTTATTTAAAATATTATTTTTAATTAACATGTTGATTCTATCTTTATTTAATTGTTTCAAATATTTTAAATAAATGGTTCATTTAATTTAAATAATTTTATTTATTGTGTTTAAAAATAATTTAGTTAAGGAAAGTTGGTTCATTTGATAAGGAGTTAGTTCACATACCGAAAAATTGTGGGTTCAACTCTCGTTACTGGTGTGAGGAGATTTTTGGTGAATGATCTATAAGCACTCTTTGAGTCTTGAGACCTGCCCTGACCCTGACCCTAATGAGCCCCCGAAACTCAACTCATATAAACTTTTACCATTATCAAAAAAAAAAAAATTATTTTCAATTTTATTTTTCAAACAATGATATGTTTACTTGTTAAGTTGGGATAATGGCAAATAATTATATTATTAATGAAAAATTATTGAAGGACATTAAATTTATTTTATTTAGTGCAATAGTAAACGGTGGAAAAATATTTCTTAATAAACCTTTTAGCCAAATAAACGAAATTTAATACCTAACTTTATAATAATAATAATAGGTTTTTAACACCTAATTGTAGCATCAAAAATCAAATTAATTATTTTAAAGTTTTTTAAATATATTTATCAACATTAATTATATGTTTTGAATTGATATTTAAAGTATTTGGTTGAATTTATATGAACACACGTCTTTTTTTCAAGGTTTAATGACATTTTTGGTCCTTGCATTTTGACTAATTCACGAAATTGGTCCTTCCTTTTTAAAAATGAACAAAGTTGTCCTTATACTTTCTTGTTGGTTGCAATTTAGTCCTAAACTCCATTTCCCCTCCAAAAGCGTTGATGTGTCAAAATTTTAAGTGATGTGGCCTATGTGGCAATGCAAATTTGGAAATGTTAATTATAAATTCATCAAATTTATTTTTAAAATATTAAAACAGAAACAGAAATAACATTTACTGTGATTTGTGTCTTTTGCTCTCTTCCTTCCCAAACACGAACAATCATCTTCTTCTTTTCTTCCTTTGAATCGTATCGACCATGTCATAGAAGGTCAAAGATAAAAATCCGAAATACTATTCCAGGTATGTAACATGCCATATAAATTAGGGTTTTTTGTTTGATGGTTATTTTCTTGAATAAAGGTCTTATAAATTAGGGTTTTTTGGTTGTTATCGTTGTGTTTTGCATAGGCCAAGTGATGATCAAAAGTTGAAGATATGTATTAACCATCGGAGTAGGTTTGTAGATTTCCCTGTCAAAGTGTATATGGAGGGTCTAGTCTATGAAAAGGAAGACATTTTTTATGTTGATTGGGTGAACTATGAGGATATTAAGAATCCGGTCCTTAGTGTTGGATATACGAAGTTTAAGTGTTTGTGGTACCAACATTCAAGCTATCATTTCAGCATGGACTTAAGCCTCTAAACACTGATGGTGACCTGTTGTTGCTTGTCTCGGATATTAAAGGGTATAATTTAGTAGATATTTATGTTGAAAATGAAGTGGATATTCCTGATGTAGTTGAAGTTGGTGATGAAGGTCCTTTGGATGATGAGATTAGGAATGATAAAGCTTGAGCCAATTCTGATGTTGAAGAAGTTGTTATGGAGGAGGTTAGAGGTGAGAAAGAAGATGTCAACAATGAAGGTGTTAGAAGTGATGGAGCACAACCTGAGGAGGTTAGAGGTGAGAAAGAAGATGCTATGGAGGATGATGAGCATGAAGATGTTATGAAGGATGCTGAGAATGAAGGAGTTATGGAGGATGCTCATCATGAAGGTACTGATGAGGTAAGAAATGATGAAGATACATATATTAGTGTAGAAGATGAAGGTTGTGTTG